TTTTGGAAAGACTTGTTGGGATTCTGAGGTGACCTCGGAAGGGGTAGTTTCGATTATCGGCGGCTCGGGTTTCTTCTCCTTCTTTGGATTCCTTGTCGAAAGAACGGCAAGGCGTAAAGCCTCGATTTCCGGAGGCATCGGGATAGCGTTTTTTTTTTCTCCCTGTTCTTTGGTCATGATCGAGAAGGTATACAGTAAAAAGTTTGAGATTTGTGTCAGCTGAATAATTGCGTGTGCGATTTTTCATAAATAACGTGATGCTTCCATAGTAAATTGTCCAACATAACACAAGCCTTCTCCATGCTTTCTGGAATTTCTTTAATATTTCGATAAAATGAGTCGGAACAATTAAGTCAAATTTCGGAGGCTAATCTGGTGTCTCTTTTCCGGAGGACTGTGGGCAACCAATATACCCATCATACAAATGTGAATCAAGTTCAACCCGTCTTTCAGCAGAACGTTCATAATATTTATCACGTGACGAGATTTTCTTCAGACGAAAGAATATAATAAAGAACGGATTGAATCACAAACCTCAGACATGGCGGAATTTTTCTTACCGTAATCTTAATGTCGAGACTCAGCGTGCGTTGACTTTTATTATTAAAAGCTTTGGCAATTTCTTATATATTTGATTTTTAAAAATCCGATTTGCTATAATTACTTTATTTTCTACGAACTTGAAAATCCAAATTTTGTTGTTTCACGTGGCGTAGATGATGAACTCCAGCATCTCGGTTACGGAAAAATGGCGCATAAGACCATGCATGTGATCCAATTACAAAATTACAATAATTATAATATGTGAAAGTTGATTGGTAATACAATCTAACTCATTCAACCAAAAATTTATATTTTTTAAATTCCAATTCGCTAGCATTTTACCTTTTGAAAATCGACCTAATTTTTGTGTCGCTTTTGCATGATATATTATACACACGGAATCCGATTTCACCCAGAGAGATAACGATAATAAAATGGTGTCGTCAGTTGCCGCAACGTTACCTAATTTAATCTTACTCAAAATCTTTTATAATTCTGATCATATGAAAGATGAGGAAAAATTGAAGTTTAAAAGATCATTGATTTTTGTAAATCGACACTGGTGCGAGAATCTTATCCACGAATTGTGGAGGGATCCTTTCAGATGTGTATCCAAAAGAAGCCAGAGAGTTGCGTTGATAGAGACTTATTTAAGATGCTTGCCTGAGCACACCAAGAGGGAGATGGGGCTTGACTGGAGTGAAAGTAATGAAATTCGATCTAACTCGTCAAGGTGGAAAACATCTACTTTAGGCAATCAAGTGATGTCAAATAAGACCACTTCTACGTCCGTTCTATTCGATTATCCATTCTTTTTATGTCATCTGGATCCCGATATCATTTACACTAGTTTCTTCTGCTGGGCCGAAGACACGAATGCAATCACATCTCGAAATCTCAGTACCAGAAAGGACAGTGTAATCTTTCTCGCAATTCTTAAAAACTTTATCATACGCTCCGAAAATATCAACCATCTCTCAATTACCGGTGGCCCACATAACATCTTTGAATTTCCTGGAGCGAACCTATCTCTATCAAATCTAAGAACACTCAATATCGCTTACAATGTTAATTCGAATTTTTTACAGATACTTGAATCAGGTTCACTGGTTTCACTGGTTTCCAAAAGAAGTACCTTACCAAAAGAACTGCATTCTGCTTCGTTGATCTCCAAAGAGATTCGAAAAATCAGGTTATCCTTAAGCGAAGAAGAATTGGAACTCGAAGTTGTGAAGGGTGTAAGGAACTTAATCGAAGTGCAAAAGAGTCTGAAATCAATCACAATTCGCGTTTCTTGTTTACTCTTTTTCCAAATTTGGGAAGGTTTGAAGTTGCACTCGAATTCTTTAACGGAAATTCATTTCGATGCCATACCATTCCCTAAAGAAACTTTCAAAATCAATGGGCTTGGAATTTTTGAAAATCTGGAAATCTTGAGAATTGAACATTGCGATCGAGTTATATTTGATGTTAAAGAAAAAACAAGTTCAACGTCGTTTCGAAAATTACACACCCTTGAAATAGAATCCTGCGAATCCTTTCCCTTTGACTTTATTCATTTCATACTTACACAATCAAACAAAAACATGAGGAAGGTCAGATTTAAAACGCTCACGTGTCATTCGGAAATTCTCGTGTCTCTTGCAAAATACTGTAAGAAGATTACTCGGCTCGAGACAACAATCTATAATAATAGCATTCAGGATTTGTTTGATTTATTGGACGAGTGCAGAGGCCTCCAACAAATTTGTGTTTATGATGGGCTTATTGACAGCTACCTTATCGACGGGAATGAACTTCTAATAACACTTGGCAAAAAACTTCCTCCATTTGTTCACACGTTCGTATTTCGCATGGATTTGTGGTTTAATCACGAAGCCCTGGAATTATTTTTCAAAAGTATCGATGTCAAAAATTTGAAAACATTGGATTTCTCATTATGCAGAAGATTTTCATATAGACACTTGAATGTGGTGAAAAAATATTGTTCGGGCACATTGGAAGATTTATATCTCAACCAGAAAGCGTGTAGGTATTTGAAAGATGAAAAGCTGGCGATTGGTAGCATCCACTTTTCCGACGATGATTCGGACTCTGGTGATGATGATGATATATTATACATGGATGAAATCGAAGCCATGATGGGTTACTGTGAATACGATTATGACGATCCTGATGATGATGAAGAATTTGACTTCTTCTCTGAAGGACAACGCCAAGCTGGTTTTTACGATTACCATGATGATAATAGTTTTTACGAGTACGAGGAAGAGGATGAAGATGAAGATGAAGACGGAGAGATCGGATATGATTACGACTTGGATTTATGATTGATTTTTGAATTTGGTGGATTTATAAATGCCAAGTTATCGATGGATTTGGAAATAACGAAATTATTTTCCGGCGTGTCGTTTTCATTAGTTTCGCCGAAGGCAAATTTGTAAACCTGTTCTCAGTATACTGTCACGTGATAGAAGATGTGCGAAACTTAAATTCTTAAACATTGCCACTCGTCGTAAACGTAATTGGCAAATTTGAAGTAACGGATCTTCTAACGAGTGTCTAATATAAGTCCTTAGGACGTATATTGACTCTCGATCAACTTTAGGTGTTTAGTAATCACATAATTTAATGTATAGACTATATATATAATCTTACTAATTAATTATATCAAGATCTTTCATGGTTACTTAAATAAATTTGATTAATATGAAACGCATTGATAAAAAGATATAAACAAGTTTTTATTGATCATACTCATATATTTTGATAATATCATTAGTGATTAAAAGAGTTAATTGATATCTTGTTTCTATCTGCTTTTTTAATTGGATTAATTTATAAATCAAGTTTTATAAAATATGAGCAACCAGTTTCCAGGTAGTAAAAAAACTGCTATTTGTTTAAGTTGAGATTTGTTTTTCTTATTATCCTGGTCAAGCAAAGTTCAAGATCAAGATCTCTTTTTTATTTCAGTTAAGTAATAAGACTAAATAGTTTCTGATTTATGTTAAATTTTAACTTTTTAATATAGTTAAAAATATGTTTTTCAAAAGTTATTGAAAACATTATAATTAATAAGAATTTCTACTTACTTATAATACTTTTCCACTATTACTAGGTAGAAAAATTGTTGATGAATCTGATATTTTGTGTTAATTATTAATCTTATTTTTGAACTATTATAAATTGAAGATCTCTTCTTTATTATTTATTTCTTCTAAATACTTAAGAAGATCTTTTTCTTTTTCCAGATGAAAACTTAATTATTTATTTTTATTAATAAATTGTCTTTGAAGAAATTACACTTGTTTTGTGACAATTTTAGTATGCTACCTAAGTATGCTTTGATCTCTTTTTTATTATTATCTTAAATATTGATTATCATTACTCCTACTTTGTATTTACCCTTTTTGTTTATAAAATAAAGATTTAGTAATAGAGCTTTTTGCTTGTTTCTTATTGCATAGAAGCTATACTTGTTTATATTATGCTCTTGAATTTTGTTTTTGAATATTTCTACTTCTATCTTCTCTTGTTTATAACCTTTTATTATTATTATTTTATTGTTTAATATTGATTTATTTTCTACATTAGTAATGATTTCCATTGAAATGTATTGTATTTTTTATAGCTTTTCTTTAATTATATTGTGATCAAATTTATATTTGACCGGTATATCCAAGTGGAATTGTTTTTAAAAGGACAATTCCCAAAGAAAGATTTAAAGAAATGGTTTATAATAAAGAAATATTCAAGAAGAGATTTACCAAAAATTCTTTAAACAGTATCACACAATGTTTCACAAGA